TTGTTTTGGCTCTCTCTCCCGGCGTTTGTGTTGTTAGATCTGAATCATAAAACTTGAGATCTAAAACCATATAGCCATGATTAATTCAAAGAGATTAACAAACATCTCAAAGAGCGGAAGCTTATACCTGAATCCATTGCTTGGTCTTGATTTTTTGGTTTTGGATCTTCTAACCTTAGGGTGTCTTGTTTCACTGGAACGTAGTCTTCTCCTCACGATTTGACGTTGTGGAGAACTCTGAACGAGTTTAAAACTCTATGAAAGAGTTGATTTAACCGAAAGTCGGTTATAAGCCAAGGATAAAGAAGATCTTATTGCTGATCTCCAAAGCTCCAACCGAAGGATGAAGGATCCTCTTTTCGCTGTCAAAAAGTTGCAACCGAACCCCCCAAAAACCAGCCTTCAATGGTCGATTCAAGCCAAGAAAAATCCAACCCTTAACTCAGTTGAGTTTACTCGCTTTTATAGGGGATTAAGGGGTGTAACCACCTCCTTAATTCGCTCCTAAGTGGGGCTAATGGGATGTAACCGCCCCTCAAATTACTCCTGAGTGGAGTTGTGATCCCCTCAGATCGTGGGAAACGGTTTTGAAACTGTTCAGCTCGTGTTTGAACGAGTCAACCGCAAAATCCGCATTCTGGCGTAAATTCTGCGTTCAAACGCAGTGTCTGGAAGCTCGGACGCAGTGTTTTGTTGGAAGCTGCGTTTGGCAGCTTGGAAGCTGCGTTTGGGCAGTGATGGAGCTGCGTTTGAGCAGCGATGGAGCTGCTTTTGGCAGCAGTATAGAACTGCGTTCGAAGTCAGCTGGAGCTGCGTCTGGCAGCGGTTGAAGCTGCGTTCAGAGGCTGATTTGAGTTGCGTTCAGAGCTGTGAACGCGGCACATCTTGATGCTGGTGTGCGGGGAGGACTTCCGCAGTTTGATTTGAAGAGATCATCGATTTGTAGTCTCTTTCTGTCGAAGCGTTGCAAAGATCGTCATTTTGTAATCTTTACTTTAGCTCTTTGATATGCAAGAGTCGTCAGATTGTAACTCTCGATGTTGATGGTGAAGGCTGTTAAACTAGAGCTCTCATCGGTTGTCGTGAAGGTCATCAGATTGTAACCTTCAGCGATCTACGTGAAAGTCTTCAAATTGTAGCCTTCTGGAAGTCGTCAGATTGTAACTTCCATCATCGGTGTTTGATGGGGATCAGCTATCTATTGTGATTTTTAAACAGCCTACAGAACCCCCTCCAAAGTTTTCGAAAGTTCGCGGTTGACTAGGACGAATTTTCGGAATACTTTGGATCTCAACTCTGATCTTGGAGCTATTGATTCCTTGTGGTAAATGATTTGTTCTCTGCACTTGCTTCGAAGGCATCATGGTTGAAGGGATTTGCCACATAGGACCTGTGTGAAGGTATGCGCCATAATCCTGCTTCTGGAATGTGGGGATGGACCCTGCATTTTGAATTTGGAACACGGGTGTGACCTCGGCGTTCGGTTTTTTGCATCGCGGGTCTGACCTCAATGTTTTGACTTAAGACATGGAAGTGGCTTCCGTGCATTTTTGACTAAGTCTTTGAGACTTGTCTTTGGCTCATCTGTTTTAAGTCTCGGCTCACATCCATTAAGCTGATGGACCTGCAAACGTGCATAGGATTTTTAGCAAACCCTCAGCCATCAACGGATTTGATAAGCCTTTACCGACTATCGTTTGAGTCGGGCTAGCATGTGGATTGTCTAAGTCCGTTCCACATGTAACGTTGTGCTAAGAGAATGAACCCTCTTAGACTTGATGCTATGATTTTGAATACATAGACTTTGTCATTTTCACGGGAAATGACTAACCGGCAACTCGTGTTAGGCGTAGGCTTATCTCTAATTAGGGATTGAGATAAAGTCCCTCATGCGTAAAAGGCATGGATTTTGGTGCTACGATGTTGAATACGTAGACTTTGTCGTTATTTCTTCCTGTGTTACTTGAAACACTGAAAGAAAGTTAGAAATGCCAGAGGTGCAATATTAACTTAGCATGAATTTTCACTTAGAGTGAAATTCAGAAATTTTCTTTATTATCACTGGGATAATTACAGAAAAAATTTAATCCGTTGGGGATTTTATAATGATAACTTGCTATTCTTGTTGAAAAAGGATTAACAAGTTCATTGGGGGGTTTGACTGTTAGAGGTGTGATGTTAACCTAACAGTATTTTTATGGACCTATCGCTCCGTTGATGAGAGTCGATAAGTGGAAAGTGTTGCGATCGGAGCAACTTTGAGGACCTATCGCTCTATTGACGAGAGTCGATAAGTTGATTTTGTCAGAGGTGTTTGATATTAACGTGACAAGAGAATGTTGCGATCGGAGCAACTTTGTGGACTTATCATCCTATTGATGAGGATTGATAAGTGGGTTGTCAGAGGTTTAGTGTTAACGTGACAGGATTTATGTTGCGATTGGAGCAACTTTGTGGACTTATCATCCTATTGACGAGGATTGATAAGTGGATTATTGTCAGAGGTATATTGTTAACGTGACAGGAATGTGTTGCGATTGGAGCAACTTTGTGGACTTATCATCCTATTGACGAGGATTGATAAGTGGATTGTCAGAGGTATAGTGTTAACGTGACAGGATGTGTGTTGCGATTGGAGCAACTTTGTGGACTTATCATCCTATTGACGAGGATTGATAAGTGGGTTTTGTCAGAGGTTTAGTGTTAACGTGACAGAATGTGTTGCGATTGGGGAGCAACTTTGGGGACCTATCATCCTATTGACGAGGATTGATAAGTGGGTTTTGTCAGAGGTTTAGTGTTAACGTGACAGGATTTGTGTTGCGATTGGAGCAATTTTGTGGTCTTATCATCCTATTGAAGAGGATTGATAAGTGGGTTGTCAGAGGTGTGATATTAACGTGACAAGAATGTGTACTTGTGACTTGCACAAGATTTTAGGAATTAGCGTCTCGCTGGGGAAACTTGCTAAATGAGTTTATCATCAAAAGCGATAAATTTTGATGCTTGTGATTTGAACAAGATTTTGAAGACTTAGCGTCTTGCTGGGAAAGATTGTGATATGTGCAATTTTTAGGACCTATCATCCTATTGAAGAGGATTGATAAGTTGATTGTCAGAGGTATATTGTTAACGTGACAAATTGGGAGTAATGCGAGTTGAATGCATACTCTGTGGGGATGATGATCGTCAGAAGTGTAATGTTAACTTGACGATGTGAAAGATTTATTACTCTTAATCCAATGGATTCCAAGTAACCAACCCCCAGTCTTGATTAAGACTTAGCAGGGGAATAAAAAGAGGTAGACAAGACACATCACCTAGTGGGGCACTATCCATGAAGTCGGAATAGAGGCACATCACCTGGTAGGCTATTATCTGATGAGTTTGACTATCAGAGGTAACTGTTAACGTGATAGTTTTGTGGACCCACCATCCTACTTGAAGAGGATTGGTGGGGGGATTTGGAGGAAAAGGACTATCAGAGGTGACCGTTAACGTGATAGTTTTGGTAGACCCGCCATCCTACTTGAAGAGGATTGGTGGGGGAATTTGGAGGAAAAGGACTATCAGAGGTGACGGTTAACATGATAGTTTTGGTAGACCCGCCATCCTATTAAAGAGGATTGGTGGGAGAATTTGGAGGAAGTAGACTATTAGAGGTGATCATTAACGTGATAGTTGTTGGACCTGCCATCCTATTGAAGAGGATTAGCAAGTTGATGGACTATCAGAGGTAAATGTTAACGTGATAGGTTTGTTAGATTTTGTGGTTGACAGAGGTATTCTATTAAACATAACAACTCAGAAAATTTATTACTTATAATCCAATGGACTACAAATAAACCAACCCCCAGTCTTGAACAAGTGCAGGGGGGAAGGGTAGACGTGGCACATCACCTAATGGGCCACTATCTAATGAGGTTGACTATCAGAGGTAATTGTTAACGTGATAGTTGTTAGACCTACCATCCTACTGAAGAGGATTAGCTTCA